ACATCCAATGTGTCGCAGTGCTTTTTTATTTAGGCAAGTGTGCCGTGGGGAGAAAAAGGTGGAAAAGCACCAAGGGAGGATGGCATCCCAGCTGAGGTTCTTAAGTGTGGGAAGGCTAACCTGCTACAACATCTTCATCAACTCCTAGTGTGCTGCTGAAAGGGAAGTCAAGTACCCCAGGACATGCGTGATGCTAACATCATCACTCTCTACAAGAACAAGGGAGACAAGCTCCAGTATTGGGGCTTTCCTCCAGAGTCTGTCTTGCCCGCCTTCCGGTCTTGGTGGTAGGCTAGAAATACCAGAGCAGCTGCAAGGCAGTTCAATCTGGACCGAACAGCTGCTGGTAAAACGGGGCCCCTGCAGCGGCTTCCAGTCTCTAGTGGTCACTGGCTCTGGTGGGGCAGCTGAATTGGTTCCCTCGGTGGCTGTGGGCTTAAAAGGGTCTTTTCTTGCCTCTTCACATCTATCACTGGATGAAGAGTTAAATGTGTGTATTGAAAAGGCAGCTACCAAATTCAGTAAGCTCTCCAAATGAGTCTGGAACAATACAAAACTGACAATCAAAACTAAGCTGCTTGTGTACAAAGCCTGCTTCCTCAGTGTCCTTATGTATAGCAGTGAGACATGGTCAACATATGCATATCAAGAAAAGAAGCTGAACAGCTTCCCCCTAACCTGCTTAGGGTGCATCCTTGGCCTCAAGTGGCAAGACAGAATCATCAACACAGACGTCATTGCCAAAGCCAACCTGCCAACCATCACTGCACTACTTAAATAGCGGTGCCTACACTGGCTTGGCTATCTCTGCAGGATGGAAGATGGGTGCAACCCAAAGGACATCCTGTATGGGCAAATTGCAGGTGGGGAGAGAATAGTAGGGCACCCAAAATTGTGCTTCAAAGACATCTGCAAGCAGGACACGAAAGCTTTTGGAATCAACCGAAACCTTTGGGAGGCATTAGTAGTAGACAAGACAGAATGGTGCTGCCTTCTCAATCATGGAGTGCAACATCACAACAAGAAATGGTTACTCTAGTTACAACAGAAACGTGATGAAAGAAAACAGCCTGTCAGTACAGTATTCCCTAGTACCATGTACACCTGTGACCACTGTGGCAGGACCTGCAAGTCTAACATTGGTCTCTACAGCCACAAGGGAAAATGCACCACCAGTCAGTAGAATAGCTACAATAGCTATCACTCGCTGATGAATGGATACCATATTATACACACACACACAAAGAGTATATATAGAGAGAGAATGTGTATTAGGCCTGTGCGAATAGAGAAGTATTCGATTTGGATTTGGCCAATTCGGAGGACAGTGATTTGATTTGGTGATTCGAATCATTATCCCCATTTGATTCGGCCAAATCAGAATCAGAGATTTGGCGCTGATTTGGTGCTGATTCAGAGATTCGGATTGGCCATGGAGAGGCAGGCACAGCCAGGCGACTGCAGGTTCTCCCAGGGCTCCTCCAACTGTGCCTGCCTCTACCCGGGCAGGGGGAACCACGGGAGAAGCCCCCATGGCTGCCCTGCCTGGCCATTCCCCGCCCAGACAGCCTCCCGGCACTTAAAAAAAATAATAAAAAAAAAGCCCTGCACTCACTGGCTGCAGCAGTGGAGATCAGGGCCTCTGAGAGCTCATAGCAGAGCCCCCCTGCACAGCACAGGGTAGCAGGGATTGCCCCCCCCTGCCTGGCACCGTGTGTCAGCTGCCCCATGGCATGGGTGCAGTGTGGCTCGGCAGGGTGCAACACGCTTTCTGGAGCTGGGATTGCTGGGGCTCAGTGGTGCCAGGCTCCAGCTGACACATGGAGCTGCCCCAGCTCCCAGACAGCACAGGGTGCCCTGCCGAGCTGCGTGGCACCCGTGCCATGGGGCAGCTGCTGAGAGGGTGCCAAGCGGGTGGGGCGATCCTCAGTGACCCCCTCTGCCCCACACTGCATGGTGGGGGCTCTGCCATGAGCCCTCAGAGGCCCCAATCACCGCTGCCAGAGTCGGTGAGTGCGGGGCACTTTTTTTCTTTTTAAGTGCCAGGAGGCTGGGGCTGTGCAGAGTGGGGGGGCTATCAGAGGCGGGGCTGGGCAGGGGGGATATTGGGGAGTGGGGGTTATGTGGGGGGGCTCTGCTG